TGCTACCACACCCGGCTAATTTTTTAAAATTTATTTATTATAGAGATGAGGTCTCGTCAAGTTGCCCAGGTGGGTCTCGAACCCGTGGGCTCAGGCAATCCACTCACTTCAGCCTCCCAAGGCGTAGGATTACAGGCTGAGCCACCGAGCCCAGCTGATAATTGCAATTAATTGGAACCATTCAAGTATGTTCACATCTAAGAGTTCATAATAATCCTTTGAAAAGATCTAAATGGTCACCGTGAAAGGGTGATAGGAGAGAAATTTATCTTGCAAAGTGGTAAATAAAAGAAAGTATCAGGTGAGGCGCGGTGGCTTAAGTCTGTAATCCCAGCACTTTGGGAGGCTGAGATGAGAGGATTGCCTGAGTCCAGGGTTTCGAGACTAGCCTGGGCAACTTGGTGAGACCTCTTCTCTACAATAAATCAAAAAATTAACCGGGCATGGTAGCACGTATCTGTAGTTTCAGCTACTTGGAAGGCTGAGGAGGAAAGATCGTCTGAGCCCAGCAGATCGAGGCTGCAGTGGCCATGAGTATGCCACTGCACTTCAGCCTGGGCAGCAGAGTGAGACTCAACTCAGTTAAAAAAAGAAAGAAATCAAGCATTCACCTGCCTTTTTTAGATGAACTGTACCACTGTAACCAATAAGTAGGTGAGGGGAAGCTTCTCTCTTTTTTGAAGTATTCTAACAGATACAGGAAGAAGGAATGATTGAATTGGAATATTACCATTCTGCAATATCTAACAAGTTGATGGATCCAGGAAATGATACTCAATGGCTTTGCAAAAGAGAGACAAAGCAAACGATCTATACCTCTTAAGGAAAAAACCACCTAAAGAAAATGGAATGTGCATCTGATCAAAAGAAAATGGAATGTGCATCTGATCTAACCTCCAGAGTCAACTACCAGTTTATAGGAAATACAGCAGGCAGAAGAATATTTTAAATTACACTATAGAAATGCAATCAGCAGAAATCTAGATCATAGAAAAAACTCCACAGGAATAAAAGAGTGTTTGGATTTTTTTCAATATACAATTGCAAGGAAAAACATTATTTATTTATTTATTTATTTATTTATTTATTTATTTTATTTTATTTTTTTTTTTTGAGTTGGAGTCTCACTCTGTCACCCAGACTGGAATGCAGTAGCTGCTTCTGGCCACCACAGTCTCGACCTGCTGGGCTCCGGCGATCCTTCCGCCTCAGCCTTCCAAGTGGCTGGAACTACAGGCGCGCGCTACCGTGCCCGGCTAATTTTTTTTTATTTATTGTAGAGATGAGGTCTCACCAAGTTTCCCAGGCGGATCTCGAACCCATGGGCTCAGGCAATTCACTCACTTCAGCCTCCCAAAGGCGCAGGATTACAGACTGAGCCACTGAGCCCGGCTGGAAAAACGTTTTTTAATAGAAAAGGTACCCATAGATGAAAAGAAGTGGAAAAGACATAAAAAAACAAAACCATGCTATTGTGCTTAAGGATACACATTTAGATGATAAAACTCCAAAGGAAAGTAAGGAAGTAAGTCCACAAAAAGTAAAAAGGAGTACTGGGCAGCATGGTTCCTTCTAGGGAGAAGGGAGAGGACTTCTGATGGCCCATAAGGTTCTAGCTCCTGACATGGGTTACCATTAGAAAGGTGTTTTGCTTTATAATAATTCATTCAACTAGACCAGGTGTGGTGGGCCACATCTATAATCCCAGCACTCTGGAAGGCTGAGGCAGGAGGACCATTTGAGGCCAGGAGTTCAAGACCAGGTTGGGCAACATAGAGAGACCTCATCTCTATACACAAATTTTTTTTTAAATAGCTGAGGGGCAACCCCTTCGGGTCCCCTCCCACTGTGGGTGCTTTTCTGTCCTCTCAATAAATCCTGCTTTTTCACACACACAAAAAAATTAGTTAGGTGTAGTGGTACACATCTATATTGCCAGCTGCTCAGGAGGCTGAGGTAGGAGGATCACTTGAGCCCAGGAGTTCGAAGCTGCAGTGAGCTATGATCACACCACTGTACTCCAGCCTGGATGACAGAACAAGCCCCTAGCTCTTAAAAAAAAAAATAATAATAATCCATTTCAATGAATTTCTTAAACATATGTTCTCTACACTTTTAGGTATTTGTGTTCTATTTAACAATAATAAAGTTTTAAGTTTGAATTAAGTTTCATGGGAAGTACATCTCATAGAACTCAAAGCATCACCAATTACATAAAACTTGGCACCTTACACTGATCCTTAATAAGATAGATACATACATTTTTATGTATGTTTTCTAGTGTATATGGACCACTTCATGAGAAAAGTTATTCAACATAATTTTCTATGCCTTTCTGTGCAGCAGTACAGTTCAACGTTTTTAACGACTACCACCTGAAAATTGTCTGTGTGTATTTAACCAATGGTACCTCTGTGATTTGCTTCCAACTACCTGCAATGAGAAAATGAACTTCTAGAAATACTTTCACGCATTTTTCCCCCTTTGTGTCATTTCTTTGGAGACGGTGTTTTATTTTGTTTTGTTTTTTTGATTCAGAGCCTCACTCTGTCACCTAGGCTGGAATGCAGTGGCACACTCACACCCACTGCAGCCTCGATTTGCTAGGCTCAGGTGATCCCTCTGCCTCAGCCTTCCAAGTAGCTGGCACCACAGACGTGCACTACCACACCCGGCTTATTTTTTTATTTATTGTAAAAACGAGGTCTCAACAAATTGCTCTGGCTAGTCTCAAACCCCTGGGCTCAAGCAATCCTCTTGCCTCCACCTCCCAAAGGGCTGGGACTACAGGCATAAGTCATCTTGCCCAGCCTGGAGATAGTCTTTTAACAGTGGAATTATTCCGTTTAAAAATATAAAGTTATGGCCAGGCTCGGTGGCTCAGCCTGTAATCCCGTGCTTTGGGAGGCCGAGGTGAGTGAATTGCCTGAGCCTGCGGGTTCCAGACCCACCTGGGCAACTTGGCGAGACCTCGTCTCTACAATAAATCAAAAATTAGCCGGGTGTGGTAGCGCATGCCTGTAGTTCCAGTTACTCGGAAGGCTGAGGCGGAAGGATCGCCAGGGCACAGCAGGTTGAGGCTGCGGTGGCCGGGAGCGGCCACTGCACTCCAGTCTGGGCGACAGAGTGAGACTCCAATTAAAAAAAAAAAAAAAAAGTAAAGTTAGGCCAAAAGCAGTAGCTCACGCCTGTAATCCCAGCACTTTGAGAGGCCAAGGTGAGAGGACTGCCTGAGTCCAGGGGTTTGAGACCAGCCTGGGCAACTTGGTGAGACCTCGTATCTACAATAAATCAAAAAATTAGCCAGGCATGGTGGCGTGTGACTATAGTTCCAGCTACTTGGAAAACTGAGGTGGAAGGATCACCTGAGCCCAGCAGGTTAAGGTTGCAGTGGCTGCAAGCATGCCACTGCACTCCAGCCTGGATGAGAGAGTGAGACTCCAACTTAAAAAACAAAACAAAACAAAAAAGCAACAGTGGAATTATTCCATTTAAATATGTGAAGTTAGGTCAGGCATGGTAGCTCAAGTCTATAATCCCAGCACTTTGGGAGGCTGAGGAGAGAGGGTTACCTGAGTCCAGGGGTTCAAGACCAGCCTGGGCAACTTGATGAGACCTCGTCTCTACAATAAATGAAAAAATTAGCCAGGCGTGGTGGCATGCACCTGTAGTTCCAGCTCCTTAGAAGGCTGAGGCGGAAAAATTGCCTGAGCCCAGCAGATTGTGGCTGCAGTGGCTATGAGCATGCCACTGTCCTCTAGCCTGGGCAACAGGATGAGACTCCTACTCAAAAAAAAAAAGTGAAGTTGTATGTGCTCTGAGAAAACTACACTATTTTTCAAGAACAACAAAAGATGACCTACTGCTGTAGCTATGATCTTTAAAAGACACTTGCCAGGAAGTTCTTTTTGCTCCCAGGCTGTAGTGGCTATGAGCATGCCACCGTCCTCTAGCCTGGGCCACAGGATGAGACTCCTACTCAAAAAAAAAAAAAGTGAAGTTGTATGTGCTCTGAGAAAACTACACTATTTTTCAAGGACAACAAAAGATGACCTACTGCTATAGCTATGATCTTTAAAAGACACTTGCCAGGAAGGTCTTTTTGCTCCCAGTCAGGGTCCCTAGACTCCCCCTGCAAACTCAGGTCTTAATATTCTGGTTCCGATCAATGATTTCTGCCTTCTTCCTGTAACCAAGCCCCACACTGTAATTCACTTCTCATCACAGGACTGCTGTTTTCCCTCATATCTGATCCCTACTCTTGATCATCTGCCCAGGGCTGCAGCAGCTCTGACACCGGGTCCTTCTCTGAACCCCAGCTCAATATCTAAGGACCTGCTCTCTGCTCCACGACCTGCTTAAGAATAATAACGTCGCCATCAATACCAGCACTGGGCCAGAGCCAACATCAACACCAACACAGATGCCAACTCCACAGAACGGGAGTCATCTGTCTGCCTGGGTCTCTGGCAGCAGACTCCCTTCACCCCCCAAGCACCATTTCTCTTGCCCAAGCCCTTAGGCCCAGACTGCCTGGTGCTTGATCTTCCCGTTGCCTCAGTTCTTCTCCACCCCAGAGGACCCCTGGGATTGATCCCCACTAAACGCTGAGTTCCAGTGCTCACCACCCTTTCAGGGAATTAGGAGCGGCAGGTCAATGTTTTTTGTTTCTAGAAGAAGGAAAAGAAGGCAAAGTCAAAAGTAGAGGAAGAAGAGGAAAAGAAGGGCTAGGCAAGGTGGCTCATGCCTGCAATCCCAGCACTTTGGGAGGCAGAGGTGAGAGGACTGTCTGAGCTCGGGTCTTCTTGATCAGCCTGAGCAACATGGTGAGACCTCATCTCTACAATAAATCAAAAAAATTAGCCAGGCATGGTGGTGCAGGCCTGTGGTTCCAGCTACTTGGAAAGCTGAGGAGGAAGGATCACCTGAGCCCAGCAGGCAGAGGCTGCGGTGACCATAAGTGTGTCATGGCACTTCAGCCTGGACAACAGAGTGAGACTCCAACTCAAAAAGAAGAGAGAGAGAGAGAGAGAGAGAGAGAGAAAATGAAGGAAGATCACGCATGGTGGCTCAAGCCTGTAATCCCAGCACTTTGGGAGGCCGAGGTGAGGGGATTGCCTCACGGGTTTGAGAACAGCATGGGCAACTTGGCAAGATATCATCTCTACAATAAATCAAAAACTGAGCCAGACGTGGTAGCACATGCCTGTAGTTCCAGCTACTTGGAAGGCTGAGGTGGAAGGATCGCCGGAGCCCAGCAGGTCGACGCCAGGGTGGCCATGAGTGTGCCACTGCACTCCAGCCTGGGCGACAGAGTGAGACTCCAACTCAAAAAAAAAAAAGAAAGAAAGAAAAAGAAGGAAAAAAGAAAAGGGAAGGAAGAAGAGGTGGAGAAAAACCATAGGGCAGACATGTGGAACTGTGTTCTATTCTTTTTTGACTCAAGTGTGCCTAAATAAAGCCAAGCAAAGAATGTAAAGAGCTGACATTGACTGGAGGCCACTTTCTTGAGCCAAAATAGCCTTTGAAGAGAGCTTCTTGGGTGATCCCACTCACACACACCGCTTCACGTCTAAATATTCATCCAGAACTCTGTACACATCACAGCCTTATTTCCTTGGTGCTTCCACCTGTCCCCCAGGAGGAGAGAGGTGAGAGAACATATAATCACTCCTCGGGGGCTCCCTGATCTCTCACCCAGGGAGGTTCCTGAGCTCTCCGGTTAGATACCTGTGAGGGCAACCAGGTGCGGCAGGCAGAGGCGGTTGGCCAGGATGATAAGCTTCATGTCGTCCAGGTCGGGGCTGGAGGTGAACATGCCCGTGTAGAGGTATTCCAGCACTGCCCTCATGCAGCTCTTGCTTGTATAAGGAAACACCACCTGGGGCGGGAAGGAATGAGCAGCTCAGGAAAGAAGGAACTCAGCCCCGAGAAACTGAAAAGGCCTGGCCCACACAGCTGGTCTCCCCAGACAGGCACCCTTCCCTGTGCTGTACCTCTATCTGTTGAGAAAACCCTCAGAGCCTGGCCCCCAGAGCAATAATCTGAGCTGAGTCCTGGTTTGCTGACAGCATCCGTGAACAGGGCCCTGATATCTTTTATTTATTTTATTTATTCTTTTAGAAATGGGGTCTCACTCTGTTGCCCAGGCTGGTCTTGAACTCCTAGCTTTAAGTGATCCTCCTGCCTCAGCCTCCCAAGTGAGTAGCTATGATTTTGCCTGGCTTTTAATTTTTTTTTTTTTTTTTGAGTTGAAGTTGCACTCTGTCCAGTCTGGAATACAGTGGCATGCTCCTGGCCACTGCAACCTCGACCTGCTGGGCTCAAGCGATCGTTCTGCCTCAGCCTTCCCAGTAGCCGGAACTACAGGCATGCGCTACCATACCCAGCTAATTTTTTGATTTATTGTAGAGACAAGGTCTCACCATGTTGCCCAGGCTGGTCTCGAACCCAAGGGCTCAGGCAATCCTCTCGCCTAGGCCTCTCAAAGTGCTGGGATTATAGGCTTGAGCCACCGCGTCTGGCCCTAATATCTTTTTTTTTTTATTATTTGAGTTGGAGTCTCACTCTGTCGCCCAGACTGGAGTGCAGTGGCCGCTCCCAGTCACCGCAGCCTCGACCTGCTGGGCTCCGGCGATCCTTCCGCCTCAGCCTTCAGAGTAGCCAGAATTACAGGTATGTGCTACCACACCCGGCTGATTTTTTGATTTATTGTAGAGATGAGGTCTCGCTGCCCAGGCGGGTCTCGAACCCGCAGGCTCAAGCAATCCTCTCACCTCAGCCTCCCAAAGGCGTGGGATTACAGGCTGAGCCACCGAGCCTGGCTCCTAATATCTTTTAAGAGACCAGGGTACTCACTGGTATCCTTTGGAAGCCGCTCTAGCTTAAAAGGTGCTTGCAAGAGTCTTTTTGGTCACCTCAGCCTACAACCTGGCCCCTCCTGTCCCTGCAGGGAGCGTGATAAGTGGGATACAGAATGAGCAAAGCCAACACCAGCTGGCTTCTCTCTGGCTGCTCAAAGCTGCTGCTTTGGGCCTCTGGGATCTCTTCAGAGTAGCGCTGCAACAAAAACTGCTTTCTCATCAGGCGCAAGTCTCTCCAGGTTGCGCTGGGAATCGGCTAGAGCTTTAAAGCTGGCATCTGCAGTACTGAGAAGTGCCCAGGGCTGGCAGGCCCCCTGGGGCTTCCGAGTGTTCCTAGTCTCACATTTTATATATCCAAATCCTACTCCCACTTCAGAGACCAACTCAGATCTCAACCCTTCCGCTAGTCTTGCAGAAGTACTTCCTCCCCAGAAATCTTATGAAACTCACATTCCACAACACAGGATGTAGTGCAACATTATTCTTGTCATTCAAGTATCGGGTGAGACCAGTGCTGAGGGGGATTCTTGGCAGGAGGAAAAGACCTAGTCCCTGTGCTCAGAAGCAATGACAGAACAGTAGGAAAACTGCATGTGGACACTCAGAACTAAGCATTTGCACAAAGTAGAACCTCGCTAACTACAAGGCTGAGTGACAGGCGATTAAGGTTCAGAGAAGATGGAGAGCATCGAGGGGCACTGCCTGGATTCCTCTGCTTGGCTAGGAGAATAGAAAAGGGAGAAGGAACTAAAGGATCTTTCTCTTTTCTCTTCACTCTCTCTCTCTCTTTCTTTCTTTTTCTTTCTTAGTCAGTCTCATTATGTTGCCCAGGCTGGAGTTCAGTGGCACAATCCTGGCTCACTGCAGTCTCAACCCCCTGGGCTCAGGCAATCCTTCCATCTCAGCCTTCCAAGTAGCTGGAACTACAGGCATGTGCCACCACACTCAGCTAATTTTTTAATTTATTTTTTTTTTCTTGGTAGCTATAAAGTCTCGCTATGTTGCCCAGGCTGATTTCCAAGTCCTGGACTCAAGCAATTCTCCTGCCTCGCCCTCCCTCCTGCCCCCAAAGTGCTAGTGTGAGACAGCCCATTGGGCCTGAGCCACTGCAAACGGCCAAAAGAATATTTCTAAGGACAATCAGTCGGTCCCTTCCAACTCTAAGTTTCCAGTCTTGATGTCTAACAAAGTATTGAGGAGGGAACAAGTGAGTTGAGGGAAAGGAGATCACATGAAGCATAACTTTGATTTTCTGCATTTTGATGCTTTGACATCTGGAGCCTTGCTGGGCCTTCCAGGGCCACCCAGAGACAGTCAAGGAGTTGCCTGCAAGCATGCCTTTCATGTGCAAACCAACCCATCCAGAGCCCACACCCCACCAGTTCCTCCATAGGTGCTCATACTCCTTGCCCTATCACCTCAGAGCCAGGTACCAGACAATTAGGGACAGCTGTTACCCTGAAAGCCCACTGAAATTGTTCAAATCAGATAATCCTAAACCTGCTCACCCTGCTTCACCTATTCCTGTCCACAGAAACCTTGTGCTTTCCGTCCCACTCTGGTGCTTCCCATGTGGCCCCATCCTGGTGGGGTGCATGCCCCTCTTCTGGGGACCTGTGAGTAGCAATCTATCTTTTCACTAATTGTAGAGATGAGGTCTCGCCAAGTTGCCCAGGCTGGTCTTGAACCCCTGGGCTCAGGCAATCCTCCCAGCCTCCCAAAGTACTGGGGTTACAGGCGTGAGCCACTGCACCCAGCTACAATCTTTTCAATGGTAGGCATCTACTGATCTGTTGGCCTCACCATACTACAATAACAATAAAATTTTTCTTCTGAAGCCGTGATGAATTCAGCCTGGAACACACACTGAATTTTTTCTAATGTGTGTCATAGGGGCAGCAAAGGTATCATGTAAACAGCCACGGAATTGAAATCTTGGGTTCAAGTACTAACCTCTACTTTCTACTTATACAACTTTGTACAAGTCACTTAACTTCTCAGGGCCTCCCTTTCCTGGGTATATCATGGATATATATGCAACACTATGTGTAAGAGTCATGTGTGAATTCAATGAGATAATGCACTAAAAGTGTTTTCTAAACTCAAGATGTTGCTATAATTCCCTTTCCTGGCATATTGTAAAATCCTTGGCTCTAGGAACCTTCTCATGCAATTCTCTTGGTCCCATCACTCTGTGGTCAGCATATGGTCAATATTGAAGAAAGTACCATTAGATAGTGGGTGCCTCAGATGCAAAGGGTACACATGTCTCTCTCCTCCCTCCCCTTTCTGTCCTTGGCCTTACCTCCCGGGTGGAACTCTCCACAAACGGCCCCCCAAACATGGCAGCCATCCAGTCACAGCTGGAAATCAACAGGGGCTTGTGGGCGCTGATGGTGCCATCATCCAGGATGAAGGTCACATCTGTCCAGAAGGAGAAGAGGCATCACAGGAGAGGACACAGCGAAAGAAGGTGAGATAACCAGTTCCAAGAGTAGTCACTGAGCCCTGACAAGACAGCTTCCTTCTGAAGCCACAAGACGCAGAGTACGAAACAACCAAGCTCCTACCCCAGGAAGAACAGGGCAGCCTTATCTCCAGGACATCAGGAGCTGAGACAGACTCAGAATTTTCATGGAACCAACCCAGAACTCCCCTGCCTTCTAAGCTCGTTCCGTACCTGAGAAGGTGCCTTTTGCCAAGCACTCCTTAACCCGGTTGGTCCGGCGGACGTGGAAGGCCTTGGTGATCTCCTGGTTCATGAAGGCCTCGTTATTGAGAATGTTGGCCACCATCATGCGCAGGTCAAAGACTTCAAGCAGCTCAGCAATGTGTGCGATGTGCATGAGGTCCCGCTCATTCTCGTCCAGCTCCCCCGTGTACAGGTACTTGAGAACAGCCCGGAAGGGCCCTGGCTGGATGGAGCTGTCCATCTTCACCACCACCATCAGCCGAGATTTATAGGTCAGAGGATCTTCTGCCATCTCTTCCTGGATGCTCACAAAAGCTCGGCTCCAGGAAGAGAGCACACGGCCCCTGCCTGGCAGGTACCCTGTTCCATTGCCCCGTAAGATCCCGTCACTGGTTGAGGCTCGGAGGCCGGCAGGCCCAGAGCCACCGGCGTCGTCCACGCTTTCACATACATCGAAGCTGGCTGCTCGAAGCAGGAAGTCCCGCCCGTGGTGGTGGTGGTGATGGTGGTAATGTTGATCGGAGTGGCCCTGGTGGTCCTCTGGGCGGGCGCCCCCTGGCCCTGAGGGGCCCCCCAGCTCCCCCTCACTCAGGTCCATGAGGAACAGGTCGTAGAACTTGGAGGAGGAGGTGGAGAGGTAGATCTTGTGGGCGAAGATGCGCACCCGCTCCTGCAGCACCAGGATGACGTCCGCGCAGAGCGGGTCCTCCAGGAGGTGGGCGGGGCACTCCTCGCTGCTGGAGGGGGGGTCAGGCACCACGATGATGGGGGGTGGCGGCTTGGGGGGCAGGAAGGGTGCCTGCAGCAGAGGTCGCTGCACGTTGCGGAGGTGGGACTTCCAGAACTGGAGGTGGCGGCGGGAGATGAGCGCGGCCCGGATGGCGTTGTCAAAGACGTCCTTGATGCCAAACTGGGCCACCACGCTGGTCTCGTAGTAGGGGATGCCCAGCTCCTTGGCCACCTCCCGACCCTTCTCTGGGGGAAGGATCTCGTTGGGTTTGATGGGCCTAGGGAGTTCAAGAAGGGACACCAAGCTTGTGTCCTTCCATAGGCTGGAGAGACTCTGCTTAGAAGCTGCATCCCCAGCCCCACCCCCACTCCTATCCTTCTCTTTCTCCTCGGTCTGGCCAAATCCTATCAAGCTCCTTCAAGGCCAACCCCAACCCTCTTGTCTTCCAGGAAGCCTCCCTATCTACGCCAGGCCCCAGTGACCTCTCCAGTTCACTCAGTGACAGCACTACCTCTCTGGCAATTAGTACCCAATGCTTTGCATAGTGTTTGCATATTACTTTTTTTTTTTTTAGAGTTGAAGTCTCACTCGGTCGCATAGGCTAGGGTGCAGTGGCACACTCACGGTCACCGCAGCCTAGACCTGCTGGGCTCAGGTGATCCTTCCGCCTCAGCCTTCCAAGCTGGGACCACAGGCATGTGCCACCACACCCGGCTAATGTTTTTATTTACTGTAGATAAGAGGCCTCACCGTGTTGCTCAGGCTGCTCTCGCACCCCTGAACTCAGGCAATCCTCTCGGCTCAGTCTCCCAAAGTGCTGGGATTATAGGCTTGAGCCACCACGCCTGGATCATATTACTTTTCAAGAATATGAAAAGAAAAGTTGTCCTTTTCATGCAAATACCACCTTCCCCTCTCTGTCTTTCCTCATGGTGTTTAGCACAGGACTACCCACAAAGTAGGTGTGCACTAGGTATGTGAATGAATGAATGAGCATGCTTGTTGGCTTCTAATGAGAGCATGCTCCAAATGGAGGGAGATGAGGCTTGATGGGGTTCTCTCGGGGTTGCATGGGGCCAGGCCACAGTGATATGTCCTTCCCTCTGTCTGCCTCCCTGCCTCTCCCCGGGCGCCAGCACCTCCTACCTAGCCAAGGGTCGTCTGGCCCTGTTGACAGCCTCCAGGTCGGCGTAGCGCAGGTCCAGCTGGCAGCCCACCAGGATGACAGGTGCTCGGGGACAGAAGTGCTTGATTTCTGGGTACCACATGGTCTTGACATGGTGGAGGGAATTGGGGTTGGCGATGGAGAAGCACAGAACCACCACATCAGATCTGTGGGTGAGAGAATAAGGTCCTGGGCAGAGAAGGCTGGCGGTGGGTGGCCTGACTCTGGAAGGAGGGATAACATTCACACGCCCCGCCTCCACCCACCCCACACTGGGCTTAGGGATCTGCTCACGTGCTCTTACACAAAACATACAACAGTATCTCCAATGTATGCAGCATTTTAGAGCTCAATCTCTCATTTTGGCCTCACAGCTATTAGGTGAGTTAGAAATGATCATTTTTACCATCTCACAGCTGAGAAATCATCTCCATGCTACTAGGTGGCAAAGCTGGGACTCAAATCAGGCCTCTTGACCCTAAGCCACGGATCCCTTCACTGTTCCACACCCAGGGTCTGCAGAAGTGTTTTCTCCATTCCTTCCTCCCAGCTGAAATTTCAGTGACGTGTCCCTCCCTCTGTCTGCCTCCCTGCCTCTCCCCTGGCACCGGCACCTCCTACCTAGCCAAGGGTCACCAGTTACTTGGGAAAGCAGAACACCCCACCTACTTGGCTCTTTGCAGGCAGCCAGGAGCCTTCCCTACCTCCCATAAGCAAAGCGACGGTCTTTGTGGTGGTCTCCAAAGGTGTCCCAGAGGCGCAGGGAGACACTGACGTCATCTACCACGTCTCGGGAGCGTTCCAGCACCTGAGAAGGGAGTGAGAGGGGAAGGGCTGAAGGGCAGTTCTTGGGGTCCCCTGCATATCCACTTAGGGAAGGCGCCAGCTCATCCTGGAGGATCCCAGGCAGCACTGGGGACAGAGGGGCAGGGCTGGTGTCGCTTGCACATCACTTTCATTCATATGAAGTCTCTGCAGAATCAGTAACAAGGGCAACCTCCAAGGCTACCAGAGCAGAGACCCTAAGAGAGCAGGCATTCTGGGTGTGGAAGGGATGAGCCTCTGGTCTTTTGGTATCAACTGCCGACTTCTTTCCCCCTCTCAGCTCTCATCTCACCCAAGCCCCCAGTGCCCCCCTTCATTAGGGCTGCAGTTACACAAGATGGAGTACCCCAGTCAAAGCAGTGACCCCAGGCACCAACTCAACCATGGAAAACATAGTCAGCCGGACACGGTGGCTCAGTCAGTCATCCCAGCACTTTGGGAGCCGAGGCGAGTGGACTGCCTGAGCCCGAGGGTTCCAAACCAGCCCAGGCAACTTGGCAAGACCTCGTCTCTACAATAAGTCGAAAATTAGACGAGCGTGGTAACGTGCACCTGTAGTTCCGGTTACTTGGAAGGCTGAGATGGAGAGACAGAAGAATTGCCGGAGCCCAGCAGGTAGAGGCTGTGGTGGCCGTGAGCATGCCACTGCACTCCAGCCTAGGCAACAAGAGTGAGACTCCACCTCAAAAAAAAAAAAAAAAAAAAAAAAGGGCAAGGGGCCGGGCTCGGTGACTCAGCCTGTAATCCCAGCACTTCAGGAGGCTGAGGCAAGTGGATTGCCTGAGCCCACGGGTTCAAGACCTGCCTGGCCAACTTGGCAAGCCCTCTTCTCTACAATAAATTTTTTAAAAAAAAGGGAAAGAAAACACAGTCAGAGACGTCTCCTCCAGGGCAGGCTCACCTCAGACCTCTCTCCAGGGGTTCCTTCCTCTTCAGCTGCCCCCGCCTGACCCCTAGGAGACTCGAGCTCTGGAGACCCCAGCCAACCGCTCAAGAAGCCCCAGAGTCCAGATGCGTGGTATGGACCCCTAGCCCAGTGGCCGAGCAGCCTTACCTCCTGGCACACACGGTACTGGTCGATGGCCCACACTGTCGGCACGTGGGTGGCCAGCAGCTGGTACTGGGTGAGGGTTGCATTGCAGGCGCGGGCACAGATGAGTCTGGTCTTGCCCACGGCGTTGTCCCCCACTACAACGCACTTGATGGTCTCTACGTTTGGCCTTTCATAATCCATGTCAGAATCCATTAAATGGGACCTGAGGCAGAGGAAGGAAGCGGTCAGGGTGGCTTGGCATGCCAGCTCTAAGCAGACCAGGGCCAGCTCCCGCAGGTCTCCTCGGTAGGGGCTGCCCCCTCTTTGAGCGCCGGAGCTGATGGGAGGGGAACAGAGCAGGATGCTTTCTGGACAACAGCTCTGCAAGGGTCTGAGGAGTCAGGAGTCCATCCAGGGCGAGAGGAGTGGTGTCCCCACATGGGCCACCTGTCCCCCTCCTGCTCCCACCATCCTCCAGCTGCACGTCTGGGTGGAGACTTGCGAGACAGCCCCAGAGGAGCCCACCCAGGGCCAGCCCTGTCCCCACTACTCTCCAGAGAGAGCAGAGTCTGCCAGGGCAGCTCCCTCATTATCCGCTCTCCTCCTCCTTCCCCAGCAGGGCAGTGGCAGCAGAAAAATAAACAGCTGAGAGAAGCAGAGTCGGCCAAGTCCCCACCCCTTCCCAGCAGGCCCCAAAGCAGGGCCACTTTAAAATTTAATGGACTGGGCAGGGCACAGTGGCTCATGCCTATAATCCCAACACTTTGGGAGGCTGAGGTGGGAGGATTGTCTGAGCCCACGGGTCCAAGACCATCCTGGACAACTTGGTGAGACCTCATCTCTACAATAAATTAAAAAATAAAAAATTAGCCAGGCATGGTGGCGCATGACTGTGGTACCAGCTACATGGAAGGCTGAAGCGGAAGGATCACCTGAGTCCTGCAGGTCTAGGCTGTGATGGCTGTGAGTGTGCCACTGCACTTCTGCCTGGACGACAGAGTAAGACTCTTACTCAAAAAAAAAAAAAAAAAAAAAGTTTCCTTCTAGCTTCTCTGGGATAGGGAGACTTCTGGATGCACCTCTCTGTGGGCCTCCCTTCCTCCACTGTGGGTCTGTCACCTGGCCCATATGTCTCACCTAGCCCTGGGCTGGGCTTTGAGATGGGGAGGGGGCAATTATAGGACTGTGAGTATATAGGCCATGCCCCATGGGTCTCCCTGTCCCCTACCCAGGGCTGTCCTCCCAGCATCCTGTGTCCAGCCTCAAAGAGAATGAGATCTGCCCTCTTCTGCCCTTCCCAGTCCCCCAGACAGCTGGCACTCCTGGGAGATGCTCTCGCCAAACTGGCTACAAGGGTGATGGAGCTGCTGGAGGAAGCAGAGGATTATAAACTTGGGCCTGACTTTCTGGGCAAATGCTTGCCTCAGTTGCCTTCCATATTGAGCAGAGAGGGAGTAGCGTGTTCACCCACAGAGAGAATGGCTCACGCTAACAAACAGAAGGTCTTCCTGTAGTCAAAATGTCATGTCAGTATTCACAAAGCTGTCACCAGGAGACCCCGGGGCTTGAGGGGTTTTCACTAGCCGCCTCCAAGTTGGCATCCACCCTCCTGGGGCGGGGGGACAAGGGAGCAGGGGCAGGGTGGGCATTAATAGGAAGCCCAGTTTCTCCAGTGTCATCATTCCCTGTGTACACAAAAGTGGTCTGGGGGCTGGAGCAACCTGAAGTCATCCTTCCTGGGCCGAGGAAGGCTAAGCTCAGAGTCCTGGAGCCAGGCCACCAGCAGTAAGAGAGACTCCACTCCCGCACCGGGCTGTAACTGGATGCCAACATGCAGGAATGCAGCACTGAAATATCCAAGTAACGATGGCAACTGGGATTTGCGCGAGTGGATGCAACTCAGCAACCTAAGCAAAAAGTGCAGCAAGGACTTTTCAATGAGACAACCTCCTCCTCCTTCTTGGAATTTTACAGGCTCTGGGCCATTCCACAACAAGGGGTCTCCACACAGCTCCCTCCCCAGTCTCCAGGGCGATTTCTGCATCATTCCTTCTCCCTCTCCACCCTCTCCCTGCAGGAACTGTTATTCTAACCACTAACCACCAACTTCACCCTTCTCTCTCTCTCTCTCTCTCTCTCTCTCTCT